AAAAGTAGTGGTTTTCTCCTGGTGTTACAAAAGATTACCTGTGATGTAGTTCACCTGTCATTGCCCTGGTTGACCTGACAGTTTACATAAAGACAGACCACTGCTGACTGCCAGCTGACTGGTCACTGTGGGACTTATCCTTGTGTTATACCAAGTCATGCTATGTGAACCAAAACCACAACCACTCATGTGCAGTAGTAACGGGTATTGGCGGAAACACTCAGTAAGCAGTTAACAGCCGCAACATGACGGAGGGCTCCACCTTCTGAACTATGTGGACGTTCGCCATGGAACAGGGCCCTGATAGATGGGGACATAGTTAGATAGTTAGATTCACAGCTTCAAAGTTACTGCTGCCTGAGAAAATACTTCCAGGGTAAAAAAAGTCTCCCAGGCTTTATTGCATTTCTACTAACAATAGTTAGTATACTTATGTGGTTTTAAACCTGAGCCCAAAATGTTGGTCCTGAAATTGATTATTTTATAGAAATGTATGTTAATTAGTAGAATGTTTAAGCATTTGACTGATTAGACCCTTAATGTTAATTGAAATCCAACAACACATTTATACAACATTTTTTCTTTAGGTGTTGTTATACAACCTGATGTCTTTCCACTAATGCACAACATGCTGTGTTCCTGGAAGCAAATATTTAGACATGTAGATGTGAACCAAAGTGCATTCGGGCTGTGAAGCATCTCTTTGTGTCCAGAGCTCGCTACCTTCCCAAGCCTCCCAGTCATTCAAATGGTAAACTAGCAGAACGGACTCTTAATTCATTAGGAAGCATTAACAGTCCAGTCCAGCTCTTAGCACTTCAGCCTGACTCACTGTTTCCCACTACTTTCTCCAAACAAAGAAAAGGAAGGCATTTACCATGAGAAAAGAGACAGAGAGGACAGTTAGAGAGCTGGATGTGGCACGCTTAATCTGTAATCTGTCTCTGCCATTTTTCCTCGAAGCATGTCTCATTCAGTTTTCCTTTTGTTGTCATTCTTGTATTCTTCTCAGTTGCTCTCTAAACGGTATCCACAAAACTCATGTTATTTCAAGTAGCACAAGCAGGAAAGTTAAGAAATAACATTTTAACCAAGTCTAAAAAATAGGACAATGTTGACATACTGCACTGGTAAAACAGTTTTAAATCAGATACACACACACACTAATAAGTGTCTGCTAAGGCACATGCTATCTCTTTGAAATCCTTGAAATCAAATTTTCAAAGAGAAATAAGATTAGTAAATGTAATGCTGCCCAAGTTACTCATTCTTTGGCACAATAAACTAGGCATTCTTTGACTGGAAACATTGACTAAATCCAGAAAGAAATTGTGTTTCCTTCTAAACTTGACAAAAAGCCTAATAAGTAGTTTAAAGCAGATTTGCAGAATCCTCCAACCTCTAGTTTGATGATCAAGCTTATCTCAAAGCAAGAAACAACAGGATTACAACTTCTCATCAGAACTACAACTAGTGTTAGCTCCAACAATTTCATGATGGGTAGGGGGGCCTGAAGTAACATCTGTCTGCAAACATAACGAAACTGCAGGAGATGTGTGCCTGCATGGCATTCAACACCATGTTGAGTGGAGGAAACCATGTTAATATCCAACTGACTCTATGACATCTACCTAATTGCATCTGATTTCTCTCAGCATGCCCCTGGGCAACGTTAAAAATGAAGCATGAAGCAAAGACAAGTGCATGTTCTGCTCCAGTGGCTCAGGTTATGGGGAATGGGAGAAAGAAAGCAGCAGGATGGGAAAGTCTCTATGCAATCACTTCGTCATCTGCACTGGATTTGCATAGTAACTGTAGCCTTTTCAAACCCATATAAATATGTCTTGCCTGCAACTTCCTGCCAAATTCTGCACACTAGCCTACATTTAAATGATAATGGATATGATGACGACAAAATATGCAGTTTTGATTGGTTATTCGGGCTCCCAATGGTTTGTGTTGTTGAAAGTCTCTTCAGAATTTTTAGAATCTTGGTTTAGGTTTCTTTATAAAAAGGAAGGTCTTTTTCAGATGTCTGTAGAAATCATTTTGTGAGCAGAAATCTGATGGATTACAGTGGATGTGTCGTTGGTTGTTTGCACATCTATAATATAAAAATGTTTTCATTCTATATTTTATATAGACTCTTACACGCCTCAGTAGTTTGATAATACTGAGTGATGGGCTTGCATCTCAACCGTCATAGAAGTAATTATACTGTAAATAACGTTTGTCTGTGTTTGTATGTGTGTTTGTGTGTGTCAGAGGGCTTGACAGCCGAGGGCAGGCAGGCATGACATCAGATTTCTTCCTCTCTGCATAAGCAGCATTAAGGAGAGAGAGAGAGAGAGAGAGATTGGGGGAGTTGACATATGATGCATCCTTGGTCGGATGTTGAGCTGGTGAGCAATGAATCGCTGCATTGCAGAGGACATTTATTCAAGGATACATTTTATTAGGATCTTTGTTTTATCCCTTATACATCTACTGGACTTAAAATTGAGATGCCTCCCAGCGTGCATTGTGGCTCTAGGAATAGCAATGTCGGTCGATGAATGATGTCCATGCTGAATGGATGAATGTCATGAATTGTCCTGAAATTGGGTACAGTCAATCATAGTGAACACAATCCCAGGTTAAACTGTACTGTGGTGTTTGTGCAAGTCCAACAGTTTTCCATTAAAATATCCATCCATCCATCCATCTTCTCCCGCTTATCCGTGGTCGGGTCGCGGAGGTAGCAGTTCCAGCAGAGGCTTGGAGGACCACCCTTGGCCACCAGTCCCTTCGCAGGCTTGACCTTCTTCCTCCGGAAGTCCCTTAACAATAGGGCCTCGCCCTGAGGACTCTGTTCCACGTTCATGGCTGTCCGGCTTCCCGTCGTCGGAGTCGGCACCGGTCTCCGTTTCGTCGGCCCACACACCTCTTCAAGCCTCTTCTGTACCTTATCTCTTTTGAAAGAAAAAGGCCGTTTATTCGCCTGGTGTGTTTTCAACAAGGACCTTTTGAGCAGCTGTGCGAGTCCTCCACTCCCCCTTCGGTCCCTTGGTAGGTTATCGACACATGTCGCGTTCCCTACCTGCAACAACTGGAGTTGATACCTTCACAATCCCGCAACCTTCCCTCGTGAAAACTCCTTGAGGACTTGGCTGTTGAGCGGGAGGATACAATCTCCGTCTCGACCTCATACTGCCCCCTAGCTGTGGTTAGAGGGCCCCCTTCCAATGGACTCCAGCAGTTTGGTTGAAGTGTCACCGTTTCGGGGCCCCCACCTACTCTAGGGCGGGGTCTTTACGCACTCGAGGACCCACAACTCCCTGACAGGGTACCAACTGTGCAGAGTAGTTGCAACGCACCTTCAGCCTTTGTCATGGCTTCTTCACCGTCTGGGCCCCACCACCCAAGGGAAAAATTTTTCCCCCTTAGTTCTCCCACACACGGTTAAATGTCTCCGGTAGTGTAATGAGTCGAGGGGCCCTTTTCAAATGAGATTCTCCATGAGCTTTCCTCCCAGTCCGGCTAACAGCTTGGAGTCTAACTCCTTCCTTGTTACGCCTAAGGCAGGACCAGCACCTTGGTGCCTAGTCGGAAAAATGAGAGCGTTCCTAGGACCTCCCCCGGACCTCATGTGCGAGTTAGGGTCAGATGTACACAAAACATCTTCAACACTCTTCGCGCATACTGGCCCAGAGCTGTCCCTCAGGTGACACTCTCCACGACGCCCTCATACCCCACTCCCCCAGAGATTTGAGTCCCGGTAGGTTAGAGACATGAGGGTTTCGCCTCGACACAGGCCCAGGAGCCGTCATTCAGCCTGGGTAAAGTCCACTCCCAACCGGAGGCGGTCCCGACGCGAACAGTGGTTAGGACAAACAGTTATATTGTACCTAGCCTAAAGGCTCCGCATCAGCACCCCCTCCCCCAGACGTCAAGCCACCTTGATTCTAACGTTAATGACGGAAAAACGTCTACTACACCAAAGACTACCGAAAGTAGCCGGCGCTGAAGTCGTGAGTGACCTAGCCAAGCGTTGGCTCACACTTCGCCGACCCCTACTCCTAGTCGTGGAGGTTTAGACTCCGGTACCAAGAGTCGTCCTTTGCTACCTGACAGGGTGAGGTTCATCCCTTACCTCAGAATGGGGTTCTTCTTTCCTCAAGTTCATTAGAGCCCCCAGAAACAAGAGCTCACTCCTTGTGTTACCTCGCACTCTACCCAGCCTCTTTAGGCCTCGTCGCCTCGCCATGACGCGTCAGAGAAATGGCGTGGCAACACTGCTTTTCCCTCGACTCGGGTCTTCCGTTTCGAGAGACAGATGGCGGGTCGTAAAAGCAAAGGATGGGAGTGGATACCAGTACTTCCTACCCAATGTACTGCTTTCTTGCTCAAGCGCCCATGTTCGCCGGCTCTACCCAAAAGAGGCGTCCCACCGACCACAAGGGAATCCCTATTTCCACTCTTCAAGCCAGTTAGTCCCTCCCTGAGCCTCAACTCGGCGAGCCTCACTCGGCGAGGAGTAAGCGCAGCTTTCCTCGGTCAACTCCACCAAGGCCCGTGGATCAAATCCTTACGTGACCCGGCGGAGGGATCCCTCCCACAAGGTCCGTGCAGGTCGACCCTTCTCTGGTTTCCCCATCTGGGATCCTGGTGTCTACCTCCCTAATATAGAGAATCGACCGGACCCTCGCCGAACCCTAGGGTCAGTCTTCGACCACTACACCGGTCCCTTTTCTTTCAAA